TGAGGATAAGCCAGCCAATGTCAAGGCTTGTATTGAAGGGCCGAAGGATTGGATCAGCCGTCTATTTTGGCCATTCTGCTATTTGGCCGACAGATCGGCCCACTCGTCACCAAAGGGTTAAAGCTGTCAGCACGCATTCTACTCTATCAGCTGAAGCTTTATACCAGTGAGCATACATTCTACTTTATGGAAGAAAAAGAAGAGGAGGAGGAGGAAGAAGAAAAGATCAGCCTCGTAAGAATGCCCATAAGTTCTTAATTTCTCTTCTTTTTTTTCTGACAGTCCACGCGGTGTACCTTTGGCAGTCATGTCTATACACAACCTTCTGCCTCATGTTTTTTTCCAATTAACTTTGACACAGATGATTTCCCATGCCAGGATGTTCAACTGTCCAGCAGCCTCTCTCTATCTCGGTCTGCCTCTTTTCCCCTCTATCTTGCCCATCACCACGATGTACTCCAGTTTTCTCTTTCTCATCACCTGATCCAAGAATGTAGAGTGTCTCTTTCTGATATGGGCAATCAGTTCTCTTCATGAGCCAGTTTCTTGTGACCGGAGTGACCTAAGAGTTAAGCACTCTCAAAACTCTTTGTTACACTAATCCTTAGCCACAAAGGACTGCTGGTTTCATCTGGCTGGGGCAGCCTTAAAGGTGCCCTAATAATGGCTTCTTGGAGGCTGACTAGGGTATTTAGGATCTGCTTTGCTGGTATGGGATCTGCTTTGTTGGTATGGAATCTGCTTTGTTGGTAAGGGATCTGCTTTGCTGGTATGGGATCTGCTTTGCTGGTATAGGATCTGCTTTGTTGGTAAGGGATCTGCTTTGTTGGTATGGGATCTGCTGTGCTGGTATGGGATCTGCTGTGCTGGTATGGGATCTGCTGTGCTGGTATGGGATCTGCTGTGGTGGTATGGGATCTGCTGTGCTGGTATGGGATCTGCTTTGTTGGTAAGAGAACTGCCTCCTAGATTGATATTTTAAACTCTCAACATGGTATGGTAAACCTTTAGATAGCAGCCTAGAAGACACCGATCCACCGATCAATCTTTTACATTGCAATGGAGAGAAAAAACAAAATTTTCAGTATTAAATGTCTAAATCAGGAACAGGGTCTTTTCTGCATGAAGAAATTCACTAAAAACAAACGGAGCAAAATTTGAACTGATTTTCTTACCTGTGACCGCTTATAGGTGGTTTTGGTCACTTTGCCGCCGAGAGCAGGGTAACGTTATAATCAAACCATATGACGTTGCAATTTCTTAACCCCAAATAACACTGCAAAACTTTGGGGGATTAATATAATCATACCTAACATGTCTACACACTATGAAGCTTAGGCAAATACTAAAGCAGTTATACAAGTGTACTAGGCATTGTACAAAGACTTCATGTCAACCAACATCTTTTTAAAAAAAAAAAAAGGAAAAATTTTTAGCTTTCTCTGGGCCATTTCAATATAACTCGATACCCCCGTGTGGGTTCCGGGGCCCTATTGTAGGGAAAAAAAGAATAGACCCACTGCCTCCCCAAAAGCATGTCGTAAGAGTCGACTAACTGGGGAGCTTCCTTTGAAGTCGGAGTGCATCTGCCTGAGAAGCAAGGAACCAGCAGTCTGCATTCAATTGAATCAGATCTGTAAAACTGATGCACACGCAACACTCAGGTTCTGGAGCAGGACAGCAGGACTGCAGTCCAGAAGTGGACGAACAACCAGAACTTTACGCTAGAGTGTACAGCTGGTGAACGCGAAGAAGAAGAAGAATATAACTCGATAGAATGACTTCCTGTTTACATTCAAAAGCCTTCTAGCCAAAATGGCAGATAGTCCGCTAACGCTCTGAAATTTTATCTTTTTACAGCTAGGTTTTGCTGATGCAAATTTCCCATATCTGGACTGGGAGTCCAAAGGTTCTGTCGCCCAGCTACTGATCTGGTTGCTTGGTGTGACCCTGTTAGCTGTGGATTTCTGGTCGATTGTTTATCTTTTTTGTATCCGCAGCACGCTGTTAACTGCAACTAAAAGGGTGGGTAGCCGAATACGTTTAAAATGGCGTGTACTTTTGCGGGTCAAATGCTGGCTTTCTTAACTGACTGACTGCGCCAACAGTGAGCTACAATTCTGGTATGGGAGCATTAGTGCTGGCATCTCTGATAGCTGTACCATGTATTGTTTACTTAGCATGTGCAAAGCTTCAAAATTTTGTTGGGGGTGAAGTTTTCAAATTAGACAGCGAAGGACGTTTTGTGTTATGGGGTGACTCATCTGTAGTGATGTTGGAACTCTGATTAATGACTAATGAATCAAAAACCTATTTTCTCCATCAGCAACAAAAAAAAAAGCTACACACAATTTCCACCTTTAAAATTAAACATTCTCATAATAGTTTTTGCACTCGCCAGATTGTCAGTTGCTACTAAGTCTTCCAACCCATAAAAAATCTGCCTCACAGTTTCAAGGCACATATGGGCATATACCTAGATCCAACATATTACAATTTAGTTTAAATTTATACCATTATGTTATAAACATTACATTTTATCATTTTTGGATTATCAGATTTCTGCCAGTGGGGGATGAGTATGCAACAATGAAATGCACATCAACGTTGGAAGTTGAACATTTAATCATCTGTACGTACTTTTAACCAAAATATATGATAAGCAACACATCAAATTGAATTGACTTTTTTATGAATTCTGGCCATAGCACATTGTGTTCTTACACTTTGTACATTTAGTCAAAAGATACGAAAAAAATCTGGTTTTCCTAGCGGTCATTTTGCAGCATATCCAGCCTCTTCAAAAGTAAGTGGATATAATTTTATTTTATGTGGAGGTGGGGGGAATAAAACAAATAATGCAACTTTACTGGGCCTCTCAAATAAAAATTAAAAAAATTAAATCAAATACAAAAACTACCCATAAAAGAATTTTAGTATGTATCCTTTATATAATTGTGGAAGACAAGGAGAAACTATTTGCCATATGACAAGCAGTGCTGTAATATGCTAAAATAAGACCACTCTATTCTTTATACGTGTAACCAGACTTAAATTATGTGTTTGAGAATTAAGTAAGCATGAGTACACGCTCACAGTATGACATCAATACATACAGGAACTGACAATTCACTGAAAGGATAATACTCTAGATTTACAAGTGGATAAAAGAGAAACAGCACTAAGAGGTAACCTCTTATTATATACATTTTCTGTCAATCTTGTATTTGGATAGAGATTGTTACACACACAATGATGATGTGGTCAACAGTCTACATGCAAGAAACCCAGTTTTGGTCACAAATTAATTTACTTCTAGACACTGTCTGTGCAGATGCTGTCTTACACACTGAGAAGCTGTCTTAGACTGTGCAGATGCTGTCTTACACACTGAGACGCTGTCTTAGACTGTGCAGATGCTGTCTTACACACTGAGAAGCTGTCTTAGACTGTGCAGATGCTGTCTTACACACTGAGAAGCTGTCTTAGACTGTGCAGATGCTGTCTTACACACTGAGACGCTGTCTTAGACTGTGCAGATGCTCTTTACACACTGTCTGTGCAGATGCTGTCTTACACACTGAGACGCTGTCTTATACTGTCTGTGCAGATGCTCTTTAGACACTGTGGAGCCACTGTTTTACACAGTCTGTGCAGATACTGTCTTAGTCTGTGCAGATGCTGTCTTAGACAGTCTGTGCAGATGCTCTTTAGACACTGTGGAGCCGCTGTTTTACACACTGTCTGTGCAACTGCTGTCTTAGATACTGTGCAGATACTGTCTTAGACAGTCTGTGCAGATGCTGTCTTAGACATTGTCCGTGCAGATAGTCTTAGACACTGTCTGAAGGTTCTATCTTGTACCCTACACAGATACTGTCATAAACACTGCCTGGAATAGATACTGTCATATAGATTGTCTGTGCAGATGCTATTTCAAAGACTGTGCAAAAGCAGTTTGAAATACTGCCCGTGCATAAAGTACAGATGCAGATGCAGAGTGCTCTTGCTCCTGCAAGGAGGTGCTGTCATTATTTGAAAGTGATGGGTTTGATTCCCAGTATGGCAACTGTAACTTGCAAAATATGCAGTTGTCCAGTGTCTCCTTCTATGTTTCTACTTCTGTCTCTTTCTATGAGTGCCAATCAATTCATGTCCACTGACTTATCAATCAGTTACTATCTCAGACTTTGTTAAGATCCTACAACAGATGTATTTAGTGTAACTCCTGTCTTAGATACTGTCTGTGCAGATCATGTGTTAGTCTTCATATGCACAGATCATGCTGTTAGTATGTGCAGATTCTGACAGTAGATGGAGACAGCATCAAAAAGCTAAGCTAAAATACAATCCTTCTGTCATCATCAACTGAGTCTGTACAGAATATTCTGAGGTTGCCTAACGAATCTGAGCAGACCTTTCTGTCAGGCACATAGTCCTATGTTGATTCTAACCTCACAACTCCAGATTCTCCAGACCTTAAGCCAAAGTTTCTTCTTTGCAGATTAGAACAGAAATTATGTCGATAAATTACTCAGACAAAACATATGCACAATCAAATTGCCATACTGGAAACTTTAAGCTGCCCAATTGTACTCTGGAACATTATACAGTAGTATGCGAGAATTTATTTAATCCACAGCTGAATTTTACCCAGTTACAGACTAAATCATACAACAGAATTCCATCCAATCAAACACCAGAAGATGGAACCAACCACACACCAAAACATCACTTAATCATATGATACAACTTCACTCAATCAAACTCAAGAGATGACCTCCCCAAAACATCACCCAAACGTAGAACAGAAATTCACTCACAAACGCCAGAACATGACTCAATCACACATCAAATCATAATCCAATCACACACCAAAACATCCCAAGCATACAGCACAATCCTACTCTATCATACACTAGAATAATAAGATTCAGTGAACTACTGCGGATCAAACAGCAGCTCATGACATGATAAAAGCCTAGACTCTCCAGCCACCATTACTTGCTGTCCTCTTGCTTGCGTTTCTTTATGTACAGGTTTAACAGTTTCATCTGAGGAAGAGACAAAGATATATTTTTAAAAACTAGTACTTTACTGAGTAAATAGCAATGAGCTAAACTAGCAATTAACTAAATATCTAGTAATTAACTAAATAATTAGTTGATGACTAAGTAATAGTATTTAACAAACTAACTTGTAACTAACTAAATAACTTGTAAAATGACTAGTAATTAGCTAGCCGGTAATAAACTGTATAACCAGTAATTTGCTTAAAGGTTAAATCAGTTAATTAGTCTTGTCTTGTCCACATTTGCCTCACAGCGTAGTGGGGAGTCGCAGTTTTCTATCCTGGGCCAGGTGTGTTGCACGTGTTGTTGTTAGTCCGTGTTGCCTCAGGATCTCTGATATATTGTCTATTTATAGTAACTCTCGGTCTGGCGTCTTGCTCTAAGGCCAGTAGTGCTTGTTCATTGTATGCTGAGAGGCTTGGTCGGTTTGCATAGCATCAAGGTGGCCAAACCCACGCTATATTGTTTGCTTCTTTATGTATCTGCAGGCATGGTGTGCGTTACTACAATTGATCTAATGGTCTCGGTTCGAAACTCTGTTCTCTCCTTGGTGACATTGGCAGCCTTACGTACGCATCCTTCATTCCGCACGTCGTTATCTTTTTCTCCTGTGCTTTGTTAGGGACTAGGCTGGCATGGTAGCAGAGGGTTGGTGTATAACATGCAATTTATCAGTTTGTCGGTTCTAGTTGCTCATAGTGTGCTTGGGTGTTTTAGCAGTGGGGGAGAGCTGGTAAGATTACCTGTCTTTCGCCTTTATGCATCTGGCCTCAAGTTCCCTATCAAGTCTTCCATCATCTGTTTAAGATGCTCACCAAGTATGTTTTAAAATTGCTGCACTCGTTGTGAGTTGTTCGTCGTTAACTTGAATAGTGAGTATATTAGGTGGTTCTACGTATGTTTCAGAATTTCTGTTTTGGTGATGCTGATACTTCATGTTAATATTTCGTTGCAGACTGGGTTGTAGCGCATTTACGTGGATTTGAAGTTCTTTTTTTCGTTTTTCTGTATTATGCTTTGGTCGTCTGCGAAAAGTATTTCGTTCAGTTGGGGATAAACTTCATCAGGATCGGCGTGTATGTTTTCATTATAATGATCTCTTTCAACTAACTCTCACTGCTTGGTGTAGTTAACAGTTCGCTTATCATTACATGCTTTGCTGCTGTTGTTATTCTGTCCACGTAAATATTTATTAATTAACTAAATAACTGGTAAGTAACTAATTAACTAGTTTTTAACAAACTAACTTGTAATTAACTAAATAACTTATAAATAACTAATATTAACTAACCGGTAATTACATATATAACTAGCAATGAATAATTGGTAAAAAACTAAATAACTAGTAGCTTAAAAGTTAAATTAGTTAACTAGTAATCAACGAAATATCTCGTAATTAACAAAACATCAAGTAATTAACTAAATAGCTGGTAACTAACTCAATAACTAGTAATTAACAAACTAACTTGCAATTAACTAAATAACTTGTTTTTAAAAAAAAGTAGTAATTAACTAACCGGTAATTGTCTATATAACTAGCAATGAAATAATTAGTAAAATAACTAGTAATGAAATAATTAGTAAAATAACTAAATAACTAGTAATGAAATAATTAGTAAAATAACTAAATAACTAGTAATGAGATAATTAGTAAAATAACTAAATAACTAGTAATAAGATAATTAGTAAAATAACTAAATAACAAGTAATGAGATAATTAGTAAAATAACTAAATAACTAGTAATGAGATAATCAGTAAAATAACTAAATAACTAGTAATCAGCTTGAAGGTTATAGTCAAGAGGATCGATTTCATTGCACTGGGTTTCATCCCATATAGCTCAGTATCTCTCCGCAGAACAGCTAGCCGCCTGCTGAGAGCGTTGCACACAGCATGAACTCCCCAGCTCTGGCAATGATCCCTAGGGATCTTTATAAAAATTGCACGCGTGAACTGAATGGTGCAGCCGTGGAATGAACCCATGACCTTCAGAGCGTGAAGCAAATGGCTTAACCGCTCCACCATAAGCTTTTAAAAAAAAAAAAAAACTGCAAACAAAAGTTAAAGGATCCTAATCATGAAATTAACTCACTAGGCATTTTATGCTACACCCATATGTGTTTACAGCTGAATCCGCACTTGATGGCTGTTCTCAAAACATTTCTTGACACACTTTTTAGGCTGGGCTGACCTAGCAGCAACATTTTATTATAACCACACACACACACACATATGCTGACCCAATAACTGACTTTTCTTCTTCTTTGGTTGTAAACTCCAGCAGAAAGTTCTGGTTGTTCATCCACTTCTGGGCTTAAGCCTTGTTCCAGAATGTGAATTTTGCATATGCATCCATTTTACAGATCTGTCTATTTGTGTGCAGACTGTTGGTTCCTTGCCTCTCATGCAGATGCGCTCCAAATTTACAGGAAGGGAGGGACCCTATAATTAGTCGCCTTTTACATGTTTAATAGGGATGCAGCAACTCTATTATTTCACGAAATAGATATCCCCCTTCTTCATTCACCTCTGGAACGGGTCTTCCCCTTTCCTGTTGGTGAGTCCCAGTGAAAATAATTTAGGTGATAACTTCTTCTTCTTCAGCATTCAGAGAAGCCTTGAGGCTCACTGCTGCAGATGTCACCCGAATTGGAACTCAGAATTTGGAACTTGGAATTGCGCCAACTTCACAGTGCTTATGGGAATTCCTATTGTTGGTTCTTAAGTCACATCATGCTTATCAGGAGGGTAGCCAGTAGACAGTCTTACTCTTTGCCCCTTACATGCCCTCACCCCAAACATGCCCTCGCCCCAAACTGCCCTCGCCCCAAACATGCCCTCGCCCCAAACATGCCCCTCGCCCCAAACATGCCCTCGCCCCAAACATGCCCCTCACCCCAAACATGCCCTCGCCCCATACATGCCCCTCGCCCCAAACTGCCCTCGCCCCCAAACATGCCCCTCGCCCCAAACATGCCCCTCACCCCAAACATGCCCTCGCCCCAAACATGCCCTCGCCCCAAACATGCCCCTCGCCCCAAACATGCCCCTCACCCCAAACATGCCCCTCACCCCAAACATGCCCCTCACCCCAAACATGCCCTCCTCCCAAACATGCCCTCCTCCCATCAACCACATAGGAAATTAGGTTAAAAAGAAAAGATAAGGAAAAAAATGTTGGCACAAAGCAACATATAAGCAAAAACATGCTACCCACCCTATGGCTGTTGAGTGTCTCCATGTAAGGCTTCATTGCCTCTTCCACCCTCAGGTAGATAGCTACAAGACAGAAGCAACTGGCTTTCCGCACCGGTGACTCTTTGTGCTCAAAGTTCTGGGGAAGTGAATGTGGAAGTTAAGCTCAAAATGGGGATTTATTGCCAGAACAATATCATAAGTTTCCACATATACTTAACCTGTACTGCAGTAAAGATGAGACAGGCAGACCGGTGAGAGGATTACAGAAACACAGATAAATATTAAAGTGAGACATTGATAGAAACAGTAAAAGAGATATAAACGGCAAGAAATAATCAGAAACTGTGAGAAATGAACAGAAACAGTGATAGAAAAAGCAAGAGATAGAAACAGTATGAGACAAAAACAGTGAGATAGGCTGAATCTGTGAAATACAGACAAAAATAATGAAAGAATGAAACAGTGTGAAAGAGTTAGAAACAGTAAATAGAAAGACAGAGAAGAAACAATTGAGAGAAAGACAGAGAAGAAACAATGAGAGAATAACAAAAACAATGGAGACAGACAGAAACTGAGAGAGACCTGTTAACAAAAATGCCAACCTTAAACAGCCCTGGTATCAAGTTTGGGAGAGACATTTCTAGCAACTCTTTTGGCATCTTTTCAACAACCTGGCACAGGAGAAAACAAATAAGACAAATGTAAAATCACACCTGCAGCTCATACCACCAGTACATGCTTAGAATTTTTTTCTAAGGCCCCCCATCCACCACACACAACAAGCATGTCATAAAATTAACCAATTAGTGGAGTTTTCTCAAGTGACAGTGCATCAGCTTGAGAGGTGGGGAACCAACAGTCTGCATACAAATAAGCCAGATCTGTGTAAAACATACGTGCATGCAGAAACTCAAGTTCTGGGACAAGCCCAAAAACCAGAAGTGGATGAACAACCACAACTTTCTGCTTGAGTTTACAGCCTGTGAACGTGAAGAAGAATGGGAATGTCCCAAGTACAGGATGGGATAGCTAGCCTAACGCTCAAATCTCTTATAACATAGTTCCAACTTCAGAGCACACGTGTCACCCCACAGTTGATCCGTTCCTGTGCCAACGACAACAACACAGAATGTCCATCACTGTCCCCTGTGGACAAACTGACACAGACGACAGCCTCAGCAAATCTAATAGCATCACACGACTTACATGAATAAGGCAGCTACCAATAGTGCCAACACAAACAGTCTGACACTAGAAATGCAGTTCATCACTGATGGAAGCAGCAGTTACAAGACATCAGTAGTTGCACACGTAATTCATCACATCAGGCAAGGCCAGTTCTGTGGTAACAGGCCATTCTCCATTTTCTGAATCCACAGTTCATAACAAAAACCACACTGGGCACAGCCGGAAAGCATTTGAAATTAAATCCGCAACTCACAGTGTCACGCCATGCACTTAACTCAGTAGCTGGGCGAAGAACCATATCCTTTCAGTGTACACATTAAAGAAAATACTTGCCACCACTAAAAATAGCAAACCTGCCTATCGTCTATATTGACAGGAAGTCAGTCTCAATTCTCTGTAGTGAGAGGTAAGAGGAATGGGTAGGGGTTTTATTGCAAAGGTGAATTGATGCTGTTTGAAAACAGAGAGCCCCGCATATATCATCACTACATCCAGTATGAGAATGGAAGTGGAGGCAGTGACGGCAGTTTTCTGATGCGTTGAAGTAGCACGGCCCGACATGTTGTAATTGTGTCGACTTTTTAAAGAAAATGCTTCAGGAAAACTGACGCTAACATCCTATGCACAGAGTGGCCCGCATCACTTGACAAGACTCAGATAAGAAGCATGTTATGGATTTTCTATCCAAGATATTCAGGTGTCTGGGGTAATAAGCAGGTTGATAGTTCAGCTGCTGCCAATGTTAAAGCAAACATGGTCAAGGCCTTCTGGGATCAAATGGACAGTGCAATAGAACAGAGGGGTTGGGGTGGGAGGGTAGAGGTTCTGGAAGACATTCACCACTGAAGGGGAAGCAAAAGAGGACTTCTAATCAGGTTGCAACTGGTACCATTAGCATATTGACTCTTCACTGACTACTGAGGAAGGAGACAGAGCACTTGTGAGAATGTCCCAAGTGCAGTGATGCCAAGTCTTGATTCGTTCATTTTTCATTCAGACTCAACTCTTCTCCTTTATCATACAGGTTTGGGACCAGCAATGGCTGAGATAGGCAAAGTGTTAGAGGTCCATTACTGCTAGGTTTCACTGCAGAGACATCTCTGGATAATGATGATTTTGATTCTCAAGGTCTACTGACTGTAAAAGTCTATGAATGTAAAGGTCAATGGAAAAATCTACTGCTATTTCAGACACATCAACTTCAAGGTCTATTGAATGTAAAGGTCAAAAAAAAAAAAAAAAAATGTACTGCTAATTTAGACAAATTATACTGTTAAGGTCAGTCCAATGGAAAATGTGTCCCTCTGCTAAAGACATCCCACCTTTGTCATCATCTGGATTGCTCCGCATGCCATGTGGTATTCCATGGTCTGTATAATCGGGGTGAGGATCCTGAAAGTCTGTTCAGGGGGAAGAACCTGTACAATTGTGTCTTCAACTTCTGACGCTCCATAGGGCACCTGCAGATGGGGCAAAGAAAACTAATCATAGCAGCAATGGTTCTTCAACATGGAAGTTTTTAAACTGTATGATAAACAAGAACAGGTTACATAGTCATAGTGAATGGAAGACAATAAGCCTATAGACAAACACAAAGAGAAAGAGGGAGAGAGTGAGAGAGAGAGAGAGAGTTGTTTTGAAGTGAGAGAAAGAAGGGTGACTGACAGGGTAAAAGAAAAGAATGAGAACAAATACAGCAAAAGAAGAAAAAAGAGAGAGAAAACAAGACAGAAAGAGAGAGAAAACAAGACAGAGAGAAAACAAGACAGAGAGAGAGAGAGAGAGAGAGAGAGAGAGAGAGAGAGAGAGAGAGAGAGAGAGAGAGAGAGAGAGAGAGAGAGAGAGACACAGAGAGAGAGAGAGAGAGAGAGAGAGAGAGAGAGAGAGAGAGAGAGAGACAGAGAGAGACAGAGAGAGAGAGAGAGAGAGAGAGAGAGAGAGAGAGAGAGAGAGAGAGAGAGAGAGAGAGAGAGAGAGAGAGAGAGAGAGAGAGAGAGAAAGAGAGTTGTTTTGAAGTGAGAGAAAGAAGGGTGACTGACAGGGTAAAAGAAAAGAATGAGAACAAATACAGCAAAAGAAGAAAAAAGAGAGAGAAAACAAGACAGAAAGAGAGAGAAAACAAGACAGAGAGAGAGAAAGAGAGAGAGAGAGAGAGAGAGAGAGAGAGAGAGAGAGAGAGAGAGAGAGAGAGAGAGAGAGAGAGAGAGAGACAGACAGACAGACAGAGAGAGAGAGAGAGAGAGAGAGAGAGAGAGAGAGAGAGACAGAGAGAGAGAGAGAGAGAGACGGGGGGGGGGGGGGCAGAAAATATATGACAGTAAGAAATAGTGGAAGGGGGTACACACATACATACATAATACATACATCATACATAAACATAACATGTCAGTTCAAAATCCCTGGCTTTCTTCAGTGATAATCAATTTCACGTAAAGTATAAGACCCTTTTCCATGCTTTCAGGCATACCGGGCATATAGGGCTTGACCTAGATTTTCTGGGTTTTCTGGGTGTAAGTTCAGCAGACACGGTGCTGACTACATCACTTACCGCATGCTGATTGGTCTTTAAGAGTATGAATCTATCATCATATGCCAGGTGCCCCACTGGCATGAACAGAGTCCTTCACTCACTTACATGACAACAATAAGATTTTTAAAAAAAACCTCACACACCAGGGCTTTATAGCACCCTATAGCAATAACAGCACCCTTTTTAAGCATCCTTTATTTAGCACTACTGTAATAGACAGGAGTTGCCGTGGTGGAGTGGCTAACCCCCCCCCCCCCCCCCCCCCCCCCCCCCCCCGATCCGAAGGTCGTGGGTTCAGGTACTGGAGGGGACTGGACATTTTTCAAAAATGACCTTGGCTCCCAGGTCGACCCAGACTTAAGTGCCAACCAGGTACAGTCCTGGGCAGTAAAGGCGGCCACACTGATGTTGACCATCTCACCCACTAAGTCCTGCCTTCTTCTTCTTCCTCTCTTCCACCTTGAACCTCAAGTCCCAACTGACCCATAAAATACAGGTCTGGCCTTATATTTTCAATACGCCTGAAGACCCGGAGAAAAGTCCTTGACTTTAAATACAAGACTGTAATAGACAGTTCTGTGGTAAGAAACCGTAAATTTTTGTTAAAGTGAAAAATTCCCATCTAAAACATATTTAGTAGTAAAATAAAAACAGACCTGTGGTAGTAATATAAAAGGCTTATTCAGTGGTAACATTAAAACAAATTTTGGTGGAAAACCACACATGTGTTTTGCTGTGTAAAAATATCAGCCACATGTTGGCCATACGTCATCCCCACATTTAAATGCTTACAACATTTAGCAGTACAGAAAACAGAAACATGATTAAAGAACAGTTAAGACATTAATAGTGAAAAAAAAAAAAAAAACATTTATAAACAATTTTCAAAAGTTTTAAATAAACAGATTGTAAAAAGTTTAAAAAACAAGAAATTAATTAATATAAACAAAAACAACCAAAAAAGTCTAAGTAAAAGAGTGAGAAATTACTAACCAGGTTTATAAAAACAGTTCAATATTTTACAACACAAAGCATTACTTTGATAAAACAGGCAATAGATCTCAATAAAACAAAAATCTGTGGTGAATGGAAGGGAAGTAAGAAAAACCTCATTAGGTTCTTTTCTGCTTTTTTTTTCATCCCATCTCAGGGGCTGCAAGATTTGATACGAATTCCTAGGAATTTCCTATATTATAGGGGGGTCAGGATAAGGGTAAGTTTCCTCTTCTTCTTCTTTCAATCGCCCGAAATAGATTATTTGTATTTGCAGTGTTGTCTGTAGTATGAAGTTCACCATGTTGTGTAATTCACTCAGCGACTCGTAAAGATCGGTCATCTGGGGGGAGTGAGGGGGGTGTGCAGGGCCCTGAAAAGGACCAACAGCCTGCATGTATGTATACTGGTGGGTTAGGGTTGGCATTAGATGCAGTGATGCTGACAGGTCAAGTATCCCAAATAAATGGGCGCAATGCTTTTACACCTTCGGATAAATGGAGAAGAAAATGATATCCTGGGATGTAAAGGCAGTCGGCAGAATGCTCAGCACAAAACCCATCAAGTGTCATTTGATCTATTGAAAAAATAAGTTTAAAAAAAAAAAAGTAGCTCTAACAATCGGTTTCTAATGTGCCTATCACATGAAAAAGGGTCATTTACGTTTACTTTAGTCCCATACATCTTTAAGTTTGGTATTTTAACTCATCTTGCCAGTATTCCCCTCTTAATCCCTCTTGCCACTGGAACAATACAATTAATGCCCCATGAATCCATCGGTTAAGCGGCTTTTCAGGGCAAAAAAAAAGGTTAATAGACTATTATCGTTTGACTCAAAAGAAAGTGAAGAAAAACATTCTGATATCAGATCTTTACCTCCCCAAACCGAATTCCCCCCCTTCCCTTTTCCAAATGTAAAACGTCCAAACATTTTAAAACATAAAAAACTACTACCCTATCACAGAAAACATACAGATAACAAAACAAAACATTGCCTTAGCATTAATCAGTAAGTAAACTGTAGCAAATGACAGTGCAAAGCATCACCAATAATCTCTAATACAAGTTCCTATATGCAGGGGAAACCAAAGAGGACTGGCAATTACTGTAGTTACTAAAAATAGCATTCAGAGAGGTATTCCTGTGAACAATGGCTTTATTAATACAAATTATGACCTGATTTTCCCTACAAGTCACAGTGTTCTGTCACAGGGTCACAAATCAGTCAGTGTAACAACTAGTTTTTAAACTCACAGAGGTATGACCCAGTTTATTATTGTATTTTCTGATGACTACATGTATTATGTATGAAATTTAATATTCTTTTGGTCTATAAACAAAATTGTTATGATTTGTGTGTGTGAGTGGTGTAGTGTGTGGTGGTGGTGTGATGGTGTATGTGTGTGCATGCGTATGTGTGTGCGTGCGTGCGCGCGTGTGTGTGTGGGCAACCTGGGTAAAATGGTAGTTTTCAGGGATTTGCCATTCGGGAATTCCCTAATTACAGATCACTTGCTTTGTTGTGTGTTTTTTTCTAGATCACAGGGGCAGAAGGGTTGATGTTGCATCTTTTTAAAATAATGTTGCTTCTTCATAAAAAGTAATAGTTAAAAAAAAACAAAAAAAAAACTGTTTCATTGCAAAGATATCTGCATGCACTCTTTCTGTATCTGCTTTGTGCTACACTGGGTCCTATTATTCTACTTCAACATTCTTCTCGCTACTCCTTTTTCTGAAACCGCCCACTCTCTCTCTCATCAGCCATGGCCCAAAGTATATAAAGGCCCAACTTGTCAAACCCAAATGTAGTACCTACCATATAACCACCTTTACTAATAAAGTGGCGTAAAGGCAGGTTTTAAATGAGGGAGTTTCAAAACAAAACCACCACCACCACTACAAAGCTTCAGCTTCAGAACAGATCAACGCCACCCACAACACAATGGAAAATAGGAGGGTCTGCACGGGCTAATAGACCTAAGAGTATTTTACTTGAAGGTTCTTCCGTATTGCATACTGAAACCAGAGATTAAAAAGAACATAATTTACTGAAAATAGTTTTGTAGCATTTTCATATACAACCCACAAAGTCATACAAATTTATTTAGCTGCACGTGGTTTCTTGGGATAATAATGTGGTAGTTTTTAAACGACTTCCACATTCACATGGCTTCGTACTATGTCCTCAGCTTTTGGCAAATTATTTGACTGCCAAGAAATACTGGCATCCTAAAAGATTTTAACTAACGTTAAGGAATATTGGCCTGCTGACAAACAAGCAGATACCCCGGAGCACTAAAGTGAATCTTATCAGAACAATTTTGTGGCCAACACTATGCTATCAGTGCAAAACATGGACACTTACATCCTCTAATGAACGTAAAATTGTGACAACAGAGATGAAATGCCTTAGAAGAGCTGCGGTAGTTTCAAAGAAAGACAGAATATGAAATCAGACGAATGACAGGAATAAAGCCAGACTTACAGGTCATCAAAGAACAACAAATAAAGTGGTTTAAACACCTTACAAGAATGCCCTGGTACTATCTGCCACAGTGAGCCACACTAAAACATTACAACGGGTATAGAGCGAGTGGAAGACCTCGGAAAACGTGAAGTGATGGCATTAAGAACAGCCTTACAGAAATGAACATCAGTCTTAAGAGTGCTCTTGACAGAGCTCATTAACGAATGTTACATAACCCCCCACCCCCCCCCCCCTTTTTTTTTTTTACTTCACTGGGGTATAAGATGGAAGAATGGAAGAGAGGAAGAAGAGAAGAAGAAAAAAGAAAGAATACTGACTGGTAAACAGCATCTTGTTTAGAATATTTTTGCCACATCAAGCCCCACACTGGACTATGAAGAACGGCAGCAGAAGGCATGGTGCCAGGAAAGAGGAGCAGGGCCGACCAGCACAAAACAGGATAAAGGTGA